CTCTCTCTCTCTCTCTCTCTCTCTCTCTCTCTCTCTCTCTCTCTCTCTCCTTGTAATCCCACTATTAATAGATAAATGAATGAAAAGTGTTTTTGATAATAAGCAGATATCTCAGAAACCTCTAAAGCAAAAAAAAGGAATAAAAAATAATTATTGTAAAATTATAATGACATTAAACCAGCTCATTAGTATAAGTTGATAATACTTTGCTATTGGTAATTCCTATATTGAATCGGATATGTATTGATGTATTCTTACATATCTACTTTCAGAATAATCCACGTCGTGCATATTACTGATGTCAGCAGGTGCTAGTTTCTGGTACCATGAAATTGATAATTTCTGATGGCAACTGCAGGCATTTAATAATGATTATTGGTATAAGTATTAATGTATCCAGTGTGATGTTACTGATAAGAGCAACATTATGACCATGTCAATAGTTAGCACAGTCTGTTAGCATATTTTTGGATTTATGCAATAGTTATGGTTTGGAAAAGGATTTCTTAGCTTAAAGCATAAGCTTTTAACATGTGGAAGGCAATCCTTTGAATGTATGTGCTAACATTCCTCATGATATATAGTCACTACTTTGACAAATTTGCTATTTCTGGACAGAAAACATAGCTCTGCGTATACTGTTTATGATTTTTTTAAAGACGACCAAATGTGTCACGCTATAATATTATTCTGAAATTTCTTTTGTTGTGTATTAATGCTCAAACCTTGATGTCTGACATTATATATATAGGGATTTTAGTGTTTACAGATATGTATGGAATATAAAACTGGATGTGTTTGTCTTTTTTTTTTCTTTCTTTCTTTCTTTTTATTTCCCTCTTTCTTTATTTTATGCAAATGTATATATGCAGTATATATATGCTGTCCATGTTTTACAAGGAGATACATTGACATGAAGTTTCTGTTGTCATGACTATTTTTTATTGATTGCCATCACTTGGTGGTTGTTTTTGATTTTGTGATATTGTTATTTTTATTTATTTTTTATTTTTGAAAAATAACTGCCCATACATATACTTAGTTAACACATATCAGTAAGGAAAAGGGAATATTTTGCCATTGAGCAAAAATTATAAGGGAAAGCTAAGCGATGATTTCTGGAGGTAACTGCAAACTGAAAATTTGTTTTTAGTAGACTGAAACCCCATCCACATGATTAATACGTTCTATGCAGTGCAACCCACTTGTGGGTCATGATGCTTCCTTTTATTTTGTGACCCACTAGTGGGTTGGGATGAGAGATTCATAACTTTCTGATGTTTTTATTTTACTGCATTTCCAATTTTATGCAGCTTTGATATTAGTTTATAAATGTTCAAGTATTAAGTCAAGGCAGATATGATAATATAATTTTATATTGTGAAAGCGAATTTACTCTAAAGACCACTATTATTTTTTAAGAAGTTGTTAAAGTGTACACATTTAATACACGAAGAACTGTTTTCTTTTTAAAACTTTCATTTTTTTATACAGACTAATGCATGATAATATCAATGTGTTCCAAACATACACACAGCATACAGCTTACATATATCTTGCCTCTCAGACCTGGTCACTATTCACATTTGTATACTTTGTACCACACAGCTAGATTTTTTTTTTTTCCCCCCCATAAAATTAGAACCTTACATGTAGCTTGAATTTGATGATTTTTCATCAAGACCCTCTGAATTGACTCACTGATTGTGTGATCTATGGTGGGTTTTATTACAAAGACATTTTTTATTCTCTGAATGCAGCTCAACCCACTAGTGTACACATGTTTTAGGAATCCAATAGATTCTTCAAAACACCTAACAACCAAGTACCTCTTCAAATCTTAGCCCAGGGAAAAAAAAAAAATCTTTCACAATAGGGGGGAATTGGCATCATTGCCATTGACACAATGATAACCATGGTCTACAGCAAGAAGGATCTCAATTCCAGACCAATGGACAGTAGAATAAACATGATATTTGATGCTTAGATTGATCAAAACTCAAGTAATTGATAGCCACTAAGATCCATATATCTTTGTTTGTCTGGCAGCAACATCACACAGCAGACTGCTGCCTGGTGAATAATCTCAGGTTCCAACACAAGCACTCTGCTGGTTTATCCATTCACAAGCAAAAAACTGTTAACAGGCAACCTACTTCCTTGTGCTGTGGACACTGTTCACTTATATTAATGGGGCTTTAGCCTCCTCATGACTCCACTAATATGTATAAGCCATTAGTGCTCTGCCTCTCTTTGAAGAACCAGGTGTATGTAGTGCAAAGTATTTTTTTGATACTATTTTACTGATTTTTCATCTTTATACACTACTTAATCAACTTTATTTTTATTTATTTCTCTCTCTCTCTCTCCTTGTAATCCCACTATTAATAGATAAATGAATGAAAAGTGTTTTTGATAATAAGCAGATATCTCAGAAACCTCTAAAGCAAAAAAAAGGAATAAAAAATAATTATTGTAAAATTATAATGACATTAAACCAGCTCATTAGTATAAGTTGATAATACTTTGCTATTGGTAATTCCTATATTGAATCAGATATGTATTGATGTATTCTTACATATCTACTTTCAGAATAATCCACGTCGTGCATATTACTTATTAGTTTATAAATGTTCAAGTATTAAGTCAAGGCAGATATGATAATATAATTTTATATTGTGAAAGCGAATTTACTCTAAAGACCACTATTATTTTTTAAGAAGTTGTTAAAGTGTACACATTTAATACACGAAGAACTGTTTTCTTTTTAAAACTTTCATTTCTTTATACAGACTAATGCATGATAATATCAATGTGTTCCAAACATACACACAGCATACAGCTTACATATATCTTGCCTCTCAGACCTGGTCACTATTCACATTTGTATACTTTGTACCACACAGCTAGATTTTTTTTTTTTTTTTTCCCCATAAAATTAGAACCTTACATGTAGCTTGAATTTGATGATTTTTCATCAAGACCCTCTGAATTGACTCAGTGATTGTGTGATCTATGGTGGGTTTTATTACAAAGACATTTTTTATTCTCTGAATGCAGCTCAACCCACTAGTGTACACATATTTTAGGAATCCAACAGATTCTTCAAAACACCTAACAACCGAGTACCTCTTCAAATCTTAGCCCAGGGAAAAAAAAAAATCTTTCACAATAGGGGGGAATTGGCATCATTGCCATTGACACAATGATAACCATGGTCTACAGCAAGAAGGATCTCAATTCCAGACCAATGGACAGTAGAATAAACATGATATTTGATGCTTAGATTGATCAAAACTCAAGTAATTGATAGCCACTAAGATCCATATATCTTTGTTTGTCTGGCAGCAACATCACACAGCAGACTGCTGCCTGGTGAATTATCTCAGGTTCCAGCACAAGCACTCTGCTGGTTTATCCATTCACAAGCAAAAAACTGTTAACAGGCAACCTACTTCCTTGTGCTGTGGACACTGTTCACTTATATTAATGGGGCTTTAGCCTCCTCATGACTCCACTAATATGTATAAACCATTAGTGCTCTGCCTCTCTTTGAAGAACCAGGTGTATGTAGTGCAAAGTATTTTTTTGATACTATTTTACTGGATAAAGTACATTTTTCAAGCCAGCAGAAATAGTATATCTATGTATTTTTTTTTACACACTGTATAACATATATATATGCATACACAAAGTTTTTAAAAACATTTATACATGGTATTTATATTGCCACAGAATAGCGTCATATCCAAATAAAAAAAAAAGTTAACAGGATTAAACAAAGCACTATTTGTCAATATATGAAACATCCTGTAGGTAAATGAAGTATCAAGAAGTTGAAGACTCACTTTATGGATCACTTTCACTTCAGCACCAGCTGCCTTGGTGCCCAGGTGGCTGCAAATTATTAATAAAGCAAAATATAAACCATTAACAAGTATATGCACTGTCTACTGTGTTTTTTGTTTCGATAAATTAGTTAACATATAAGTGGCTTCACAAGCACTTGAGTGCTCCAGGAGAATTCAAGACATGCGGGATACTTAAATGACATCAGCTTTGCTTAGTAACTCCTTCATGACTGAGTGTTTGTAGAGCAGTTTATTTGTAAACAAAATTAGGAAAACAAGACCGCAATGGGCACTGCATAAGTACTTGCATTCCCAGCTTTAGCTTGTAAGTAATGAAACAGAAAAGCTACGTAGCACTTTATAGAGTCATCTATTTGTTGTTGTCATTTTTCTTTTCTTTTTTCTCTCTCAGGATTTCTTTTTCGTTTTTAAGACAAGAACATTATACTTTTTGTGGAAACTGTTGATGTTGGTGCATGGCTGGGTAGGTTTGGTCTTTGAATTTCTGGGTTGAGTGTGAGTGCATTTTATATGTATAGAAAGTCACAACAAGGAATGAGCTTTAATATAGGCCATTAGGCATAGTTATAAACAGTCCTCTAGTAGCCAACTGGAGTGTTAAACACTTGAGTGTTGTTAAAAAAGTAAAAAAACAAAAAAAAAAACTTTTTCAGAAGTGTCCTTTAACTGTCCATGATCATACTTCCACACAGATTTATGATATTTTAATGACAGTATAGAAGACTTGCTATTGTTGGAGAAACTGCCTGACTGATACTGTCAGATCCACTATCTGCACTAAAATTTATGATTATTACCTAAGAATGCTTATAAGCCATACTTTTAAAAGATTAATATATAAAATCCATACTTATGAAAAGTTATACAGCCTATGGCAACTTTCTGTTGCTTGTGTTAAATCCCATCCTTCCATGTTAAAGGTGTATGGCCAGAATATTTAGCATTCATAGAAATCACCCCACCTCAATCCAACTTCTCGGAAGATTTAGTAGTTTCCACATCTGAGAGTACTGAATCAATAACCAATTAACATTATGAGTGCAAGTATTCAGCCATTTGAAATGTTGCTTAAATTACTACAGAATGTTATATTGAATGTGGTGTTAACGAAAAAGTTTTGTAAAACAA